GGCGCTGCTGTGCGTCCTGGCGCGGCCGATCCGATTCGATCTCGACTCCGTGCCGATGCGGCCTGATTCGATGCACATTCCGCTTCGATCTGATTTGCCGATTCGATGCTGACTGATCTTGGGAGAGGGTCGGCGGCGAGCGAGGGGGGACGCGAGAAGGAACATGCCTTCCCAGAAGGCGGCGGGGCTTCTCGGAAGCCCTCGCGCCTTCTGGGAGCTTGTCTGTGTCTTCGGGGACGGCTTGGAAAAGCTTCTCTGAGGGCCCAGGGGACTTCCGAGCCTTCTGAGAAGGCCTTCTTCGGGGGCGGCAAAGAGGGGGGTGATGACTAGGGGGGGTGGATATCATGGCGGGGGCCATGCTATCTCCCCAGATCTCATGGCCCCTCTTCTTGTTCCCTACCTAGGCTCTGCCTAGAGGGTTCTTACTCTGTTTGCTTGAAGGGGCCGGGCAGTGGGGCTCGCCCCAGGCGGTTCCCCCAGTTGCGCCCCCCTGGGTTCCCCCAGCTTAGCTTAGCTTAGCTGGGTTCCCCCAGCTTAGCTTAGCTTAGCTTAGCTTAGCTTTTCTGAACATAGCTTAGCTTAGCTTAGCTTAGCTTAGCTTAGCTTAGCTTAACTTATCTCATTTTAGCTTAGCTTAGCTTAGCTTAGCTGAGCTTAGCCTAGCCTAGCCTAGCCTAGCTTAGCTTAGCTTAGCTTATATGATCTCATATTAGCTTAGCTTAGCTTAGCTTAGCTTAGCTTAGCTTAGCTTAGCTTATATCAGCTTAGCTTAGCGCAGCGCAGCATTAGCATAGCACAGCACATCATAGCATATCGCAGCATAGCGCAGCATATCATAGCATAGCTTAGCATAGCACAGCGCAGCATAGCCTAGCATAGCATAGCATAACACATCATATCATAGCATATCATAGCATAGCATAGCGCAGCATAGCATATCATACCATATCATAGCATAGCGAAGCATACCATATCATATCATAGCCTAGCATAACATAGCATAGCGCAGCATAGCATAGCATAGCATAACATAGCATAGCATAGCATAGCATAGCGCAGCATAGCATAGCATAGCATAGCATAGCGCAGCATAGCATAGCATAGCATAGCATAGCATAGCATAGCCCCTACCTAGGCTCTGCCTAGAAGGGTTCTTACTTTCTTGGCTTAAATGGGCCGGGCAGTGGAAATCGCCCCGGACGGTTCCCCCAGTCCCCTGGGAGCCAAGCAAAAGCAACAACAAAGGTAAAAGCAAACGCGCGGTTCCCCCAGTTGCGCTCCCTGGGTGCCAAGCAAAAGCAAAAGCAAAGGCAAAAGTGAAGGCAACAGCGAAGGCAAAGCAAAAACATAACATATCATAGCATAGCATAGCGCAGCATAGCATAGCGCAGCATAGCATAGCATAGCACAGCATAGCATAGCCTAGCCTAGCCTTGCCTAGCCCAGCATAACATTGCGCAGCATAGCATAGCATAGTATAGCATATTAGAGCATATCATAGCATAGCATAGCATAGCGCAGCATAGCATAGCGCAGCATAGCATAGTATAGCATAGCATAGCCTAGCCTAGCCTAGCCTAGCCTAGCCCAGCCCATGTTGCTTTCCTAGAGGCTCCAACTTCTAGGTAGGGTCGCACTGGGATTTTTCCCGGAAAGGGCCTGGGCCCAGGGTTCTCTTTTAGTGGGTAAACCTGTCCCCCGGTGCCAACTTGAAGGAGGCCGGCGAATTTTTTCCCTGATAAATAACGAGGTCGAAGGAGGCCGGCGAATTAAAATTTGAGGATGTCTCGAGCGAAACGCTTGTTCCCGGAAAGGGCGGGGGCCCAGGGTTCTCTTTTAGTAGGTAAACCTGTCCCCCGGTGCCAACTTGAGGGAGGCCGGCGAATTTTTTCCCTGATAAATAACGAGGTCGAAGGAGGCCGGCGAATTAAAATTTGAGGATGTCTCGAGCGAAACGCTTGTTTTTGAAATCCCGATCGATAAATCACAGGGTGCGGGCCACTTTTTCGTGTGTTGAGGATGTCTCGAGCGAAACGCTTGCTCCGCAGAGTTTGCCGAGGATGTCTCGAGCGAAACGCTTGTTTTGCAGAGCCGACCGCGACGCGGAAAAGCGCCCCGCGCGAAGGAATTTCGATGATGTTTCGACTAATTTGTTTGTTTTTCCCGGAAAGGGCGGGGGCCCAGGGTTCTCTTTTAGTAGGTAAACCTGTCCCCCGGTGCCAACTTGAGGGAGGCCGGCGAATTTTTTCCCTGATAAATAACGAGGTCGAAGGAGGCCGGCGAATTAAATTTGAGGATGTCTCGAGCGAAACGCTTGTTCCCGGAAAGGGCGGGGGCCCAGGGTTCTCTTTTAGTAGGTAAACCTGTCCCCCGGTGCCAACTTGAGGGAGGCCGGCGAATTTTTTCCCTGATAAATAACGAGGTCGAAGGAGGCCGGCGAATTAAAATTTGAGGATGTCTCGAGCGAAACGCTTGCTTTTGAAATCCCGATCGATAAATCACAGGGTGCGTGCCACTTTTTCGTGTGTTGAGGATGTCTCGAGCGAAACGCTTGCTCCGCAGAGTTTGCCGAGGATGTCTCGAGCGAAACGCTTGTTTTGCAGAGCCGACCGCGACGCGGAAAAGCGCCCCGCGCGAAGGAATTTCGATGATGTCTCGACTAATTCTTTTGTTTTTGTACGATTTCCTGGAATTTTGGCAGGATGTCTCGAGCGAAATGCACGACCCCACCCTAGCACGACCATACCCCAGCACGACCACACCCCAGCACGACCAGACCCCAGCACGACCCCACCCCAGCACGACCCCACCAGCACGACCATACCCCAGCACGACCACACCCCAGCACGACCCGACCCCAGCACGACCCTACCCCAGCAAGACC